CAAAACCCTACTAAGGAATCCTCTGCAATTCCTGCGTACTCCATAAAAATATATAAAGAAAAGTAGACAAGATAACAAAAGGCTATTATTAATATTCCTTCCTTGGGCTTAGCGTTTGATGACCCACATCCGTCTTCACGGCTGAAGCTCAGGTGCTTCTCGGCTGAAGCTCAGGTGCTATGATTGCATTGATCTAACTGATTAAAGTACCATAAAACCGGCTTTTTAATTCTGCGCAAAGAGCCTCTCCAAAGTCCGTCGCGCTTAGTAAACGAAGTTACCGCAGTGCATTTCCTCCCCCCCCCGCCGCCCGGTTTCGTGGCACAAAGGCCTCTGGGAAATGTAGTGCCTTTTTTCATTCCATTAAACTGAACTACAACAGGGAGGAGGCAGCGTTCGGGTTCGAAACAAGAAAGGGCTTTGGGGGTACTGGCTTAGTTGCGCATGCCCCGTAGTTTTCCTCGTAGGAAAAAAACAATCATGTTCTGCTAACTTAATGCAAAGCTCAGAAAAGGGAATCGATTAAAAGTAAAACAAAACAAAACAAAACCCTCGGATCTTTCTGTTTCGGCTCTGAATTTTGCACGGTAGAGCGCCTCACGAATTAAGAAACTCTTAGAATGCATTAATTAAAACTGGCTCTTGCGAGGGTGCCTTCGAGTCAGCGTTGACGCCTGGTGACAACCTGGAAGGAGCCCCTCCAGGTTTCTTAACAGGGTTTCAGGACTAGTTTGTCCTATTTTGCATGACAGTCTGATGTGGAAGCATCACCGCTTTGGAGAGGAAGGCGGTGGCACAGAGTGGTGAGGACGGCAGAAAAGACCAAAAAGACCAAAAGGTGACTTTGACTCAGAAAGGCCCAGTGCACAATCTGGGGGCCACAGTGGACAGATAAGAGCAGACAGTAACCATTGCTAGGAGGGCCTTTGCACAACTTGGGGCTGTGTGCACAACTTGGGCAGTGTCTCTGATGCCTCTGGGGGCCTCTTTGTTATTACATGATCTCATCCTCTATCTTGGGTTGGAAAGTCCTGGACTTTCCAGACTTAAAGGTGATCTCATTTTACTAACATCACCACTAATCTTAAGAATTGGTTGGAAGGTTTTACCAATGTGGTTGGGAGGTTTCACCCATGTGGTATCTATTCTCCAAACCAAATTCTGTTATCTATGCTATGTTTCTCTGCTTGTAAAAGGGGTATAAAAAGAATAAACGCCACGTATGTGGCCAGACATCTTGGCACCCTGCACAATGACTGATCTTTGAAATTCATCACTGCCCTAAATTTATTTATTTATTTGATTTGTCAATTGCTTACAAGATAACAGGTATAAGTATAAACATAGTTTTGAATACATGAAATGGATACGTATAAGAAAAATAAAAAGAAACAATAGGACTGGGACGGTAGGCACGATTGGTGCGCTTATGCACGCCCTCTACAGACCTCTTAGGAAAGGGGTGAGGTCAATAGTAGACAGTCTAAGGTTAAAGTTTTCGGGGTTTGGGGAAGAAACCACAAAGTCAGGTAGAGTGTTCCAAACATTGACCATCTGTTGCTGAAGTCGCATTTCCTGCAATCAAGTTTGGTGCGATTAACCTTGAGTTTGTGTCTATTGTGTGCTCTTGTATTGTTATGGCTGAAGCTGAAGTATTCATTGACAGGTAGGACATTGCAATGTATGATTTTATATACTATACTTAGATTGGACCGAAGGTGGCATAGTTCTAGGTTTTCTAGGTCTAGAATTTTGAGTTGGGTGGCATAAGGTATTCTGCAACGAGTAGAGGAGTAGAGAACTCTTCTTGTGAAATATTTCTGGACTTTCTCAACTGTGCTAATATCAGATACATAATGTGGGTTCCAGACTGATGAGCTGTATTGGTCTAGCAAATGTTTTGTACGCTCTAGTTAGTAATGTTATATTACCAGAGAAAAAGCTATGTAAGATTAGGTTAACAACTTTTAATGCCTTTTTGGCTATGTAGTTACAGTGGGCTCTAGCATTTAGATCATTAGAGGTGAGTATTCCAAGGTCCTTTACAGAGTTTGAATCATGAACAAGGTCTTGACTATTCAGCCTGTATTTTATTTTTTGATTTTTTTTTTGCCAATATGTAGGACAGAGCATTTATTTGTTGAGATTTGAAATTGCCATTTGTTTGACCATTCTGATACATAGTCGAGGTCTTTTTAAAGGGTAGCAGTATTGTCTGTGGTGTGATAGATAGAGGATTGATTGATTTAGAGATAGAGGATGACACTGCTGTGTGTGTAAGCATGGAGGAGAACGTTTGCAAGAAGTAGTTTCCTCCAAGTCCAACTTTTGCCTTGACAGATCTCTGGAGAAGAAGAGGGAGTGGCAGAGGAGCGTCATGAGGGGAGGTTGCCCCCCAAAGCCAGCATGCTTACCCCACATGATTGGGATTCCCTTTCAAGAAGGGCCAGCCTCCCTGGTGCAGGACCAGGGGGCACTGCTCCCCTGCCTCCTCTCACTCTCCAGAGATCTGTCAAGGCAGAAGTTGGACTTGGAGGACACTGCTTCCTGTAAACTTCCTCCTTTGTGCTTCCGCATCGACCTCCGCCTCCTGCTTTGCTGGAAGGGAGCACCAGACAGGGAAATGCTATCAATGTCTGGGATTGGGAGAAGAAAATCTCCTTTGGTTTGCGTTGCACATGCAAGCACGCGCATGCACACACACACTGTTAGGTATAACATAGGTCACCTAACGTAGTTTGGGTAAGATAATATATATAAGCTATGATTGTTAGTTTAAGTGTGTGTCACTTTAAATGTAAAGCATGTAATTTTGGGTGTGGTGTGAAACCACCATAAAAGGGAGCAAGACAACCTGATTGATTGCTGACGATTCCCTGACGGTTTGCTGGCAATTACTGACAATTACTGGATTGGATTACGTTGATGGTTTGTTAGCTGCGTCCTTCCCCTACTGAAGAGTTGCTGAAGGAAGGAGATGAGTTTTTTGAGTTCTTCATATCTCTCTACTGCGAGGAGATATATCACCGGACTGATATTTGTAAGTGTACTGACCTCTCTTTTTCGACATTGGAATTTGCAACTGAATAATCCCTGGACGGACTGAACTAAGTGAATGATGTATGGACTGTTTTGACTATGCTTTAACTCTTGCTGGAATAAAACTATTTAATTAGCACTGTGCCTCTGTTTACTGAGTGTAAGCTACAAAAAAACGATATCTCACATATTCTGCCTGCCTGCCTGACTGCCCTGCAGATCTTGCTAGGGTGTATCCCTAACACACACCATTCCAAGCTTGGAGACTTTTATCCACATCTGTGGTTGCAAACTGCCAATCATGTCTGGGCACGTGGAGAAGGCCCTTTCCTTCCTCTGTGGATAAAAGTAAGCAAACTTGGAATGTGGTGTGTGCGTGTGTGTATGCATGCACATGCATGTTTGAACTTGGCTGCTAGGAGTTTGGGGAGGCGAGGAATGTTTGGGGCACCGAATTGTCCCCATGTCGAATTAGAGGCTATGATTTGTTCTGTCCCAACTTAGCTGCTCCCAGTAAGTGGTATCGAGCTGGCTATGCCAACCAAGCCACACCCACCCAGCCATGCCTACCTAGTCATGGCGACCTGGCTACTGGCCCTTTGGGGGCAACCATAATGCTGATGCGGCATTCAATTCAATGAAATTGAGTTTGACACCCTTGGTATAGGGTCCCCTACTTGTGTATGGGGATGGGGAGTGTGGTGTTGAACTAGATCACGTCCAAAGTCCTAGGGATTCTATGTAAAAGTTCTATGAAAGTATATGGCTTTATCAGCCTTTGGTAATAAACTTGGCTATTGGTTCTTCTTTCTCAACTGGAACAATTCTGAGCAGGAAGCAAGAAAACTGAACCTGATCAGAATCTGACCCAGTTCAAGGGTTGCCTTAGATATTTGTTATTTGCTTTCGGGTTCTTTAATTGCTTTGAAATCTGGGCAGATGTTGCAATGGCTCTTTTCAAGGCTGCACGTTGCACACCATAGATCGTGACTGCTATTCAATTGATTGAATTTCTATGCTTTTCCACCACTTTGATTTTGGAGCCTTTTGCCAATATTTGCTGCTTCCTCCCCCTTTCTGAACAAAATCCAGTTGGTCGATGCACCTCTCAGCAATAGACAAAGTTTCTCTTTTCATGATCATTATTTGTTCGATAACAGGATACAGTCTGGTCATCTGAGAAACTGCTTCCCTCTTTGGAATAAGCCACGGGTGATACAAACAGTGCTGTTAAATCTGACCAGCGGGTAAGTCTGCAGAATTTTTAAAAATATCTTTTTTCAGAGAATTGGAAGATGATTTTTTAGGAAAAGGGCAGATGTTGAAAAGTTAAAGAGCACTGCCCAGAACTTTGATGGTCTACAAACAGGCTGGTCCCAGATGGAAAATCCTGTGTCGTACCAAACTTTAAAAAATGGGTATGTGTGTATGTGAAACATTCATCTCTATACTTGGATGTATACTTGGATGATTTACAGCAGGATTGGAGCAATAAAAATGTTGATTTGGGGTAATTTTACATTGTTATTTATTTCAGTTACGGTATATCTTAACCATAATTCACAAGTTAGGGATTGATACACAAAGTTCCAGAAAGGGATTTTAGAACAAGTTAGAGAGATATAATATCCGTAACAAAAATAACATATAACAAATTGTATTGGGAACCCTGGAGAAGATCTACTAGCAATTCTTTGTCAAAACTGTCCATTCGCTAAGCAAGGGGATCGGTAACCAGGAACTCTAAGCGGTTTTTCTGGAACCATGGAGACGCATCATGGAGAAGGGCAAAGGTGACTAAGTCACTCCCTGCTCACCATTGGTGTCCTCAGCAAAAAAGGACCCCCACCATCACAGTAAATCAATGATGAATTGGCATTAGGTGGGCTTGTATAGTAAATGGAATAATCTTATATTGGTTGTAACTTTTTCCAGGTCCACCAACTCACCCTAACTTTGCAATGCCTTGTCTGCTATGCCAATCTCTCTTGTGCTGCCTCCTCCTCGTCCTCCTCCCCTTTCCACTAGCTTCCAGTTCTGCTTCTAATGGAGCCACAGTGGTCATAACCAGCAGTGGCCCTATTAAGGGCAAGCAGTTCCTGTCTGGTCTTGGATCTGTAGCAGCCTATCTTGGCATTCCTTATGCTGAGCCTCCCCTGGGGAAGTTGCGTTTCCAGAAACCTCTTCCACATCAGCCATGGAAGCAAACATTGGAAGCCACCAGCTTTGGCAATTCCTGTTCTCAGTCTATTTACTATGAAGACACTGCAGCAATGGTGTGGAATCCTAGAACACCACTGTCAGAAGACTGCCTTTCCCTCAACATCTGGGTGCCACACCCACAACCTTCTTCACCAGTACCTGTTTTGGTCTGGATACACGGAGGGGGATATGGAGGTGCCACGGCTTCTCTGGGCTTGTTCAATGGGGCATCCTTGGCTGCCACTGAGAATGTCATTGTGGTCACCATCAATTATCGCTTGGGAGCCCTTGGCTTTCTTTACTTGCCACCAGTTGTACCAGGGAACCTAGGCTTATGGGACCAACAGCTGGCCCTGAAGTGGATAAAAGAGAACGCAGCTGCCTTTGGGGGAGATCCTTCTCGGGTGACCATTTTTGGCCACAGTGCTGGAGGAGCTTCTGTGAATTTCCATCTTCTTGCGCCAAAAAGCCAGGATCTTTTTGCCCAAGCGGTGATGCAGAGTGGAACGGCCAATGCCTTCTGGGCTTGGAGGTCTCCTGAGGAAGCCAAACGTTTATCACTGAAATTCGTTCATTTGCTAGGTTGCTCTGAGGACAATAAGATCAGCCTAGGGCATTGTCTGCAAACAAAAAATGTTTCTGAATTGATTCAGCAACAAGGCTCTCTGTTCTTGAATGAGGACTGCCTTCTGAATTTTCCATTCAGGCCTACCATAGATGGAGACTTTTTGCTTGGGGATCCAGAAAAGCTCGTGGAGGAGGGGCAAATTCAAGTCAAACCTGTCCTCATAGGAAAAGTCTCTGATGAAGGGAGCACATTTATCCATGATCTTTTCTCTGACATCAAGGAAAGTCTTATCAATCAGGAGCAGCTTCTGAAAGGGATAAGAATGTTGGTGCCAAATGCACCTGAAGATGTGGTTCAGAGTATTGCATTGAGGTACAGTGAAGGAAATCACAACCCAGCAAAATACCGCTCCGCTCTGTCCAACCTCTTCACAGATTTGGCCATTGCATGCCCAATGATTGAAGCTGCAGGAAATATCAGGAAAACGGGGAGTCCTGTATATGCCTATTTATTCGCACATCACCCTTCAAGGTCATCTTGGCCTCAATGGACTGGACCACATCATGATGCTGAGATTGCTTATATTTTTGGAACCCTTGAATCAGTGTTTCCCGTCAATCAAACATACACAGAGGCTGAAGCCAGACTGAGCCGTAAGATGATGCACTACTGGGCAGAGTTTGCCAGAACTGGGTAAGTGATTCACTTTATTTCTATCAATTTGATTTTAAATCCAAAGAAAGCCTTTCCATTCAACAAATTCACTTTATATCTAAAGTAATTCAGCCATAAAGTAATGCATGCTATTCCTTTGTGTATGTTTACAGATCACATCAATAATGCAGATAATAATAATAATTATTAATAATATTTTATATATATTTAATAATATAATTGCTCCCCCCCATTTCTGATCCTGCCTTTCTGCCACCAAATAGGCAATTGGGCTGCTTTCCTCCCCTGGAGTTTCCTCAAAATAAGAATTTATTAGGAATGTCATATTGGCACAACTAGTGAAAACCTAACTCTGAAGGACCCAAGCTTTTCCCCACCCAAATCAAAACTCAAAGTTCTCGCTCTGAGATCACACATCCATTGCATGGTCCAATCAGGTCGCAGTCCTCTTCTGAATGTCTTTGGTCCATGCCGTCCAAACACCTGGTGGGGATGCCCTTGGCTTCCACAGGAAAGAATGTTACTTTGGCTACTATTTTGTCTCTAATTTTCTGGCTGAATATAGAGACAGGTAGTTAAATACAGCAAAGGCTTCCATACAAAGTTACTTTATTGGATTATATCAGGCATCCTCAAGGTATAACTCACAGTTATGCTGAGATTCATCTAATGTCCAATCTTTGCATTGTTGTCTGCATAGTGTGAAAAGATAGTTATCTTCATCCCATAATGATACAGCAAGGGAAGACTCCAACACGTTACTGGGGTCCAAGTAAGAATGAACAAAACTCCCCCCAACCTAACCAGAGGTCAATTCAGTGACCAATCAGGAGTACAGATGACATGAACTACATCTCCCATGAGGCATTAACTACATTTCCCATGAGGCATTCCCTTAAGGGGACAGCTCTCATTCCCAAACTAACTATATACTGTTTAACCAGTACAGCTACCCTTTCCTCCAGTTATCGCTATCTCCCCCCTCACATTCCCACAGCTGCAACTGGCTTTGTTGTGGCAGGCCTGAAGATTTCCAAAATGGTTTCAGGGCTGACACTCTTGTGAGGACAGTAGATGAAATCTCTAGTGAAATCTAGAGATATTGAACTTTGGCTGCTATGACTGGGCAGCCATTTTAAAAGCCAGATTCTGAACTGCCAGGGAATTGCGAAGTCGATGTCCAAGTGAAGCCATAGACACTGACACAAACTTGTAGTTTTATATAAATTAATATCTAACAACTATATATAAGCAAATATATTAGTCAGGCAAACAGGAGTACCATAAGGTAAATCACAGGGCACGTAGAAGAAGAAAAAAAGTGTGTGTGTGTGTGTTGGGGGGAAACTCCCCCACCACACTCACAGCAACCAATCAGCACAGATTGCCTCATGCAGGAGCCAGCACTCTTCAACCAATCAATCACAACTGTGTGTTTTGGCTCACTGCACAACAACATTGCTCCAACTACTAAATTTAAACACCTTAACACGAACTGTCTGGTGAATGCAGTTCATGTTTGTAAATGTAATACGAAGTGTCTCTTTAAGGAAACTGTTGGAATAGGTGAGGGAGTCAGTGAAGAAGCTTCCAGACAAGAGATGGTATTCAGCAGGTTCTGACCAGCTCTGGAGAACAAGTAGCAGAAATTTTGAGTAGTTCAGAGAACCAGCAAATACCACCTTTGAGATTTTACGGTATCTTTCCCCTCCCACGCCCACCAAGCCATGCCCACAGAACCGGTAGTAAAAATGTTTGAATCCCACCATTGTGAATCCAGACCAGAGCTTATAACTTCAGCAACTTTAAGCCATGTGGACTTCAACTCCCAGAATTCCCCAGATAACCATGCTGGCTGGGGGAATTCTGGGAGTTGAAGTTCACACATCTTAAAGTTGCTGAAATTGAGAAGCACTACTCCAGACACTGCCATTCCAGCCATTCCATTGAGTTTCAGTTGTTAATAGAAGTCCATTGCAACTTCCAATGGTTGTTAAGCGACCAGTGATAAGTACCAGTTGTAGATCTATGTAGTTCGAAGAAAGTAGTGAAGCAAAGTTCTTCCTTGTTGGCTCTGTGCAAGTTGCAAGTTAAACTGTTCATAACCAGAAGCTGATCCTGGATTGTGTTAGACAGAGGTAGAGGGTGGGGATGCCTTTTAGGGTCTCCTGTCATTTGGTGACTTGGATTCTTCCTTACTATATTTAAAAGCCTGCATGAACCCTGCTGCCAAGTCTCTAACCAGCAGGGGGCACTAAAGGCCATCCTCACTCCTTCTTCAAGTCCCCTTTGGGAGTTTCTCTTGGGTGTAGTTTCTCAGATCAAGATCAATCTCTTTGGAAAATCAGTATCCTTTTTTCTTCCTCCATAGGAATCCTACTGGGTTGGTGGCCACCAAGGATGAATGGCTGCTCTATAACACCACGGAGCAGAATTTCTTCGTTCTTAATAGTGAGTCATCCCGAGAAATGGAGGAAGAGCTTGTCCACCACTGCAGTTTTCTAAAGGAGCATTTGTCAAAGTCTGAAGACCCATGTAAGTTCGGCTATTTGTCCTGCCTTTGAATGGAAATAGCGGCTGATGAAAAAGATACTTCTAAAAATCTTACTTATATTTATTTTTTACAAGATCAAATTTATTGTCAACCATCTCACTCACAGAGCGATCTCTAAAAATCTTTTAAAATTATTTTTGGTCACTTTTTGCAGGGGCTGAAAAAAAACATAATTTTATTTTGTACTGGGAAATTCTGTAATGCTAGTGATACATTTTGTAGTACAAGAATCTTTCATGACATCCCAAGAGTTAGATCTCTAGTCATGTCTCAGAAGTATGTATGCCCTAGTGGCTCACATAAAAATAACAGCAATAATAATAACAATAACAATCATCATCATCATCATCATCTGTTCATCATCGCCATGATCCCCCTGTCAACAATTTTACAGAAAACTAACCTGGGTTATCAAACTGCTAAAAATTCACGGAAAATCTCCCACCTGCTATACATGGATGACCTGAAGTTATATGGAAAATCGGAAATCGAAATCCAGTCACTGACCAATACAGTTTGAATTTTCAGCACTGATATCAGCATGGAATTCGGCCTGGACAAATGTGCCACAGAGGCACTGAAGAAAGGGAAGATTGTAGAAAGTGATGGAATTGAAATGCCCAATGGACAAACCATCAAGTGCCACCAACCTGAAGCCTACAAATACCTGGGCATATTGCAGCTGGACAATATCAAACATGGGCAAGTGAAAAATGTGGTCAGCAAAGAATACACACAAAGGGTCAGAAAACTTCTAAAAAGCAAACTGAATGGTGGCAACACCATCAAGGCTATAAATACCTGGGCCATACCCTCATCAGATATACTGCTGGGATCATAAACTGGACACAGGCAGAGCTGGATGGCCTGGATTTGAAAAACGAGAAAACTGATAGCCATACATTATGCACTGCACCCACGTGATGACGTTGACAGGCGATATTTGCCCAGAAAAGCAGGCGGCAGAGGACTTTTGCAAGTGAAGCAGACAGTCGAAGAAGAGAAACATGCTCTGGCAGATTATGTGAAAGACAGTGTTGAACCGGCTTTGATGGAGATCAACAAGAGGAAGCTGCTCAAAGTGCAGCAAACCAAGGATCAATATAGGAAAACAGTAATGCAAACTGAGGCTGACAGTTGGTGTAACAAAGCACTGCATGGACAGTTCCTTGAAAAGATCCAAGGAAAAGTAGATAAGGAAAAGACCTGGTTATGACTGACCAAAGGAACACTGAAGAAAGAGACAGAAGGCCTGATTCTTGCAGCCCAGGAACAAGCCATCAGAACAAATGCAATCAAAGCCAGAAGAGAAAAAAATCTGCTGATGACCCCAAATGCAGACTCTGCAAAGCGGATGAAACCATCAATCACATACTGAGCTGTTTAAGACAATCACTCAGACTGACTACAAACAATGTCACAACACAGTCGCTCAGATGGAACTTGTGTAGCAATTACCATCTGCCTATAGCAAA